TGTTTGGTATATTTGATGATCACCAATCAGAATGAAATATAGTCTTACTCCATTTAGAATTATAGGTACCATTAGTTACCCCAAATAATATGGTTTTAAGAGTCGGAGTGATAGTACAGCAGGTAGGGCATTTGCCTGGCATGCGGCCAACTTGGGTTCCATCCCTGGCATCGCATATGGTTCCCCAAGCACCGCCAGGAGTAGTTCCTGAGTGCAGAGCCAGGAGTAACCCCTGAGCATTTCTGGGTATGACCCAAGAAGGGGGAAAAAAAGAATATGTTTTTTAAAACTTTTTTTTGTCTTGAGGGCCACACCTGGTGCTCGGGGGCTATGTCTGGTTACTCTATGCTCTAGAGTAACCCCCGGCAACGCACAGGGGACAATAGGTGGGACCAGGGATTAGAATCAGGGTCACGGCTACCCCCACTGCATGCAAGGCAAGCTCCTTTCCTCCGGTACTCTCTTCCTGATCCCGGCCATTTGTATTTTTAAAATACATTTCTTTCAGATGGCATTGATTCACATTTTATGAGGTTCTGATGTATAGCCCTGTAATTCTATGTCACGATCGTTCCCAAGTTTAGTCTCGCCCACCCCTTACTCTCGACCCCTCTTTACCTCTTTCACCATTTTTGTTTCTTGTGTGTGAGAGTGATAGAGCCGGAGACAGGAGACAGTTGCCCATTTATGTCTGCCAACTTGTTTTCTTTTGAGTTGATTTTTCTTACCAATTTGTAAACATTTAGTATACAGTATACATTGGGCTAGAGTGATAGCACAGTGGGTAGTGCATTTGCCTTGCACGCGACCGACTGGGCCGACTCGTGTTCGATTCCTCTGCCCCTCTCGGAGAACCCTGCAAGCTACCGAGAGTATCTTGTCCACATGGCAAAGCCTGGCAAGCTACCCATGGCGTATTCAATATGCCAAACACAGTAACAATTCTCACAATGTTACTGGGCCCGCTCAAGCAAATCGATGAACTATGGGAGGACAGTGCTAGTATATATTAAGGATATTAAGAGCCAGCAGTGCTCCAGGGTTGATCCTTTTTTCCTGGCTCTGCACTCTGGAATCACTCCTGGACCATATGGGATGCTAGGGATCGAACCCTGGCTGGCTGCATGCAAGACAAATGCCCCATCCACTATACTCTCGCTTGGGCCCCAGTAACCCCATGTTATAAGTGAAAAAACTGAGTTTTTCTCCAAGGCTAGTTTTCAAGTTGGTGCATGAATCAGCTCTCTTTAGAATCGAGACATTCTAAATATGAGTGTTTGCTGACCCACAGGGTTGGGTTTTTTCCATTGCACAAAATCTCCTACTGAATGTCTGTGTCCTTCCTGTTCTTACCCCTAGAGGACCGAGAGGACCTCTAAATGACACCCATGCTAATGACCCCGTATCACCAAAGGAACAAGCCTGGGGGAGGGTGAAGTCATCCACCATTAGCCCTGTTGATTGAAGTTAGCTCCCTTAGAATGTCCCTTGGAAGTAAAGATGAATTCAAGCTCGGGAGACCATGTGAATGCTCCGAGATTACACTCCCCTGTGCTTGGACCAGATATGACTTCTGTTTGTTGTTGCTGTATCACTCCAGGAAATAATCTTCTGTTATTATGGCAGAGCTAAATGAATCTAAAACCAGTTTTGTTTCTTCTTGAAGAAGTAATCAAACATTTTTTTTTTGAGGGCCTGGAGAGAGCTCAGTGAGCTGAGCTCATCTTTGCTTTTAGGAGGTCCAGATTTGACCCTAAGCTTTGTGTGGTCCCCTGAGCACCACTGGGAGTGACCTTTGAGCACAGAGCCGGGAGTTGGCCAGGAGCGCTGCCAGGTGTGGCATAAAAACCAAACCAACATTTGAGGTGACAGAAGAGATAGTTCAATGGGCTAGAGCACATGATTTGCATGCAGGAGGCCTGGGTTTGATCACCAATATTGCACAGTCCCTGAGCACTACCAAGAGCATCACTGACGTGACCCATCACCCCACCCCCCGTCCACCCACGCCTAAAGGAAGAAATAATATGCAAAGCACAAAGAAGCATCCTACTGGCAGCTCCTGACTCCCTGGCCAATACAGGAAGCTCTACTCAGGGACACCTCGACAGAGATCCCGATTCTGATTCCCAGGAAGAGCAAGTTTGAACAATCTTTACAAATATTGTGATGCTGTGCAATCTTTGCCCACTGCCCCTGAGCCTGCCCGGCTCTTACTGAAGCTGGCCTTGGTAACCATGGAGAAAAAGAGAAAGGAGGGGGGAAAAAATTATTTTTGCACAGTTCAGAGAGAACTGTGGGAGAAGGGCATGTGTAACGGGAAACCGGTTCATGCCAGTCAGCACGTAGCTTCTATTTCTTATTGCGGTTGAAGGCTCAGTAAGATGGACGCATGGACACGAGATGAGGCAGTTCAGTCAGCAGGAACATTTCTTTTCACATGTTCAAAACAAGCGGGGCCCGGGGAGATGGCTCCAAGGAACGCAGTGTGTGCTTTGCATCGGGCTCTCTGGGTGCTATCATGGTTCCCTAAGCACCACTACGTATGACTGCCCCCTCCCCAAAGGAAAACTCAAGGGGGGAACAATTGAGCTCAGCAAGTTGTCTGCTTTGGCCCCTGTGGGACCAACTGTGTGATAACTTCAGTGTGTTGAATATACACACCTCATGGGTGGCGAGAAAGGGTCCTGAGGAGTTGGTCAGTTTGTGACTTCCCTCACTTTTACCTTCACTAACTCTGTTGGGTTACAAGGCTTGGAGGGGAGAGTAGGAAAGGTCGTTGTATGATTTCATGTTAAACCTCAAATAAATGTTTCCTTATGTGATAAAAAACAAACAAACAAACAAACAAAAACAGGGCCTTAGGGAGCCAGAGAGAAAGCACTGCAGGTAGAGCTGGCCTGGGTTCAATTCTGGCATCCCAGATGGTCTCCTGAGCCCTGCCAAGAGTGATCCCTGAGTGCAGAGTTGGGAGTAAGCCCAGAGCACCACTGCTGGGTATGACCCCCAACCAAAACCAATAAAAAACCCAAGGCTTTCGGGGCCAGGGAGATGGCTCCAAGGACTGGAGAGAGAGCAAGGTCTGTATGTTGGAGCCACAGGTGGGTTCCGGGCACTGCAAGGTCCCCTGGGCACCAGGAGCAGCCCCTGGGTACCATCAGGTATGACCCCCAAACCAATAAAAGCAAAGCCCAGGCTTAATCATCATATTGATGAGAGTTCAAGGCCTGGCTTCGGCTTTATCAGCTCTTCTGACCACAGGCAAATGACTTAAACTCTGTGCCTCAGCTTTCTGATCTGCACAATGGGGATAACAATAATACTAACATTAATGCCTTTCACATGGGTTTTTCTGCAGCTCAAAAATAAAACTGCAGATATGTGGCACCATGTTTGGTTTGTAACAAGGGCTCTGTAAGTGTGAACTGTGGTGCTGTGACTAATAAGAACTTTGAGGCTCCAGCACTTGGTCCAGACCACAGCTTTGCTGAATGAATGTGTGTATCTAGGAAGTCGCACTCAAGGCTTTATGGCAGACTAGAAACTTTCCATGCCAGGCTCTCTGCCAGGTGTGTAAAAGCAGGTGTGATTCTGGACGCAGTGCCTGCCCGCGTTCATTCGGTTAGCAGGACTGTGTTTGAACAGGCGCTACCTGGAGAGCAGTGCTGGGTTAGTGGGGATTGTCTTCTGCTGTGCAGGGATGGTCTCACTGACTAGCACCTATTACGAACTCAGTTAGTGGCCTGACTGCCACTGATTGGAGCATGCCACCTCCCTGGTTGTGGAAGCAGATGGCAGTCATAGTCACATGCACTGTATGGAGAGCTTGTATCTGGCTGTTCTTGGGGGGAGTGAGACTTGATATTACAGAGAGAAAGCGGTAATTGGTGTGGCCGCAACTAAATCATGAAATGGGCCTTTCTGCAGTCCTTCAAGAGCCCTTGAACTGGCATTCTCAATTCCAATTCCTGGTTGAAGGAATCATATGATCGGAGAGGTAGTCCAGGAGCTAAGTGCTTCCTTTGCTTGCAGCTGGCCCCAGTTTATTCCCTGGCTCGGCATATGGTCCCCTGGGCAGAGAGCGAGGAATAAGCCTGAGCACTGCCATGTGTGTGCCCCCCCCCCATAAGTCATCACATGAGCCCCCACTTCAAGTTCTAGCACTCTCCTTTGTTTTGAAGGGTTTGGGGAGGCCACACCTAGTGGTGGTAGCAGGGTAGTCCCAGTTTTGTGCTTGGGGACCACAGGATGTTGGGAATCAAACTGCGGTTGGCCGTATGCAAAGCTTGTGCCTTAACCCCTGTGCTGTCTCTTCTTACTGCCCAGTTCTATCCTTGGACACTGTGGCTTTGGTTTGACCTAGGTAAATAGCCTTTTAAAATGCTTAGTTATTTGGTCTGTCCAAACCCTCTGACTGGTTCAAAGAATAACATTCACTCTCCTTTAAAGTAAGTCCCATCTGTTCTTTCCAGCTCACAGGAAGGAGTTTTCGAGTCCTCCTTATCTGGGAAGAGTGTGGACTCCAGTAGCAGGAGGTGGTTGGAGTGAGAATGTCTTTGCCAGTGTTGTCACAAGGGTCTAGAAATGTGGCCCACTCCAGGGCTCATGCAGAGATGCCAAGACAATTTCTGCCGCTGTGTTTGGTTATCTAAAGGGCCTTACCTTCCAGTGTGGGGTCCTTTGGACATAAAGCAACAGAAATCTGTGTGTGTGTGTGTGTGTGTGTGTGTGTCTGTGTGTATGAGAGAGAAAGAGAGAGAGAGAGAGACAGAGAGAGAGACAGAGAGAGAGAGAGACAGAGAGAGCCATACCTGGAGGTGCTCAGGGCTTACTCCTGGCTCTGTGCTCAGGGATCTTTCCTGATAGAGTTCAGAGGACTGACCATATATAGTGGTAGGAATCGAACTCAGCTTGGCTGCCTTCAAGGCAAGAGCTTTACCTGCTGTACTGTCTCTCCATCCTAGCAACAGAAATCTGATGACCTCTCTCCCTCTTTCTAGAGCTAATGTTTCAACCTGGCTTCCTGCTTCACTGCTGTTTGTGGGGATCATCTATGCTGGTTCCAGAGCCTTGTCCAGACTGGTAAGTGGTAGAAGTTTGGCGGACACCCCTACTCACCTCGACCCACTTGCCTTTAACTTAGTGGATCTTGAACCAGGAGGGTAATGTTTCCACTTACATGTTTGGAGAACATAGATTAGAGACCAAGTACTGGATTTGAATCTCCATTTGGCTGAGCTGAAGACATGCAGAAAGAAGGATGTGCCAACATATTTTACAAGATAGGGAGCATCCCAGAGAGAGTCACAATCTGTGTGGCGCCTGCTGCAGAGGGGCTTCACTTACTCTGCCACAAACAAAGGACGTCTTGATCTTCAGCTCTAAGGCAGGGAGGAAGGATGCATGAACACAGGGCTGCTTCTTGCTCTTAAGCAACCAGCACTGACCTGTGGATGCCATGACTGGCCACTTGCTGGGCTCTGTCGTGGATGGGACACGGAGTTGAACACTGCACATGGGTTCAGCAGTGGCACAAGCATTCGTTCTGTCCTCCACACCCTCCCACAGAATTGAACTCTTGAAGGCAGTATCTGTGAAGATTCCTCTAATTTAGGTATTTTGCTCTCCAGAAGGAATTTATTAGTATGCCACTGGTCAGACTCAGAACTTGATGTAAAAAGGAGGCATGCCATGGGCCAGAGTGATCTGACAGTGGTGACAAAACTTGAATTTCATGTAACCAGCCCCTGAGATCACACACGGCTCCCCAAATCCTGCCAGCAGTGATCCCTAAGCACAGAGCCAGGAATATGCCCTGAGCAGCCAGATGTGTCCCAAAACATCCAGCTCCTCCACCCCACAACAAAGATGCCATGTTCCGGGCCTGCTGTTCTTAGTGTCTGGAAAATGAACATGTTCTGACTTTTGGAAAAATGTGACATTTGCAAGACAGTTTCACCTACTTACATAAAGTTTATTGTTTTGTTGGTTCCTTGGATCTCAGCAAGGAAAACAGTAAAAACAAACAAAATCTGCTAAGCTGGGTAACAGTATTATTGTTAGGACATCTTCAAAGTTGCAAAAGAGCGGCTGAGAATTCATTGTGGTCATTTCTACACTAAAGGAGCATTTTCCTTTCATGACTCATCGGCTTGAGTAGATAGGATGTTGTGTGCGTGGGGAAATCGTCCTGGGTGGGCTTGAGAAATGACCCACAGTGCACAGAGGTGATCAGCCTGGAACTCAGGGTGAAAGCTTTTTGCTTCCTTCCGCCTCATTTTCATTTTGTCCAGCTGCAGTGCGTGTGCTGCCTTACTACACACCTTCTGGCCTGCAGAGGGCGCTTCATCTCCTACAGCAGATAAAGGACTTGCTCAAAAATGGTGGCATTTGGGCCAGCATTAGAGAGCTCAGCAGTTGAGAGCTGCGTGAGATGTGTGAGGTCCTGGGTTCCATCCCCAACACACACACGCACGTGCACACACACACACACACACACACACACACACACATTATCTAAAGACTTTCAAGAGTTTTAGGAGCCAGAGAGATAGTACAGCAGGTAGGGCACATGCCTTGCATGCAGCCAATCTGGGTTTGACCCCCGGCATTCATTATGGTCCCCCTGAACCCGCCAGGAGTGATTCTTGCGCAGAGAGCCAGGAGTTATCCCCAAGCATTGTTAGCTGTAGCCCAAACACCAAAAAAAAAATGTTTTACAGGATTTGAGTAATTATGAATGACAGAAGTTTTCTTTCTCCTCTTCTTTCCTTCCTTCCTTCTATTCTGGAGGTTGAACCCAGGCTTCATACATACAAAGCATGTACACTGATACTAAGCTATATACCTCGCCCCAGAATATTGACATTTGAATCGGTAAGGTGTTAAGCAGTGCACTTTTGTGTGTCTTCTTTTCTTTTTGTGTCTTCTTATTGACAGTCAGATGTCAGTTACCTGACCAACAGGAACTCAGCTGAGGGTAGTAACCTGCCTCTCTTCCCAGAAGGAATGACACCTCACCTTTTGCCTTTTCAGATTTGCCCCTTTTTTGATTAATGTGTATGATTTTTAGAATGAGCCCAGGGCAGTGTAGTCAGGCATAACTTCAGATTTATAACTTTGTTTTGGGGTTGCTGGGGATGGAAACAGGGGGCCTTACATGTGCAAGGCAAGCACTCTACCACAAGCCACACCCCTGGTTCCTAACTTCAGACTTCTGGTTGCAAATGTGACAGAGGTCACCAACTGATATCAGTTAGAGGGAAAATTACTCACTAGTGTTAATGAAAAGTCAGTGTGTAGAGTCAGTTTTAGAAACGACTTGATCCAGAGGATCCAGGTACATGGTCAGAATCCAGTTTCTGTCTCCACGTCTTTCACTCTTGCTGTCTTGACAACATTCTACAACCAGGCTTTCCTTTAGTGGGTACTGCTGGCACAGGCTTCACCTCCTGATGAAGTCCCAGAGTAACGCTGATTGAGAGCTTCGAGGCCTGGAGGCTAAGCAGGAGGATGAGTTGTGTGTCTGGCCAGCCCTGGGTCACAGCCTTTCTGAACCATTCACTCCGGTAGACTCAGAGCACCCTTTGTTCTGTTCTGATCATAGAGGATCCTTATCCAGAGAGGGTTGAACAGATTCTCAATATCAGGGTGCTTCACCCAAAGAAGAGCTGAGCCAACAGGTCAGAGGGCTAGCTCGGCTTTGCATGCAGGAGGCCCAGATTTGATTCTCAGCACCACATGATCTCTCAAGCACCACCAGGAGTGATCCCTGAGCACAAAGCAGGGAGTAGTTTTACGCACGACCAGGTGTAGCCCTCAAACCAGCAAAAAGAATTCTAGGGAAAAGGAAACAAAAAGCAATCTAAAATTCCACATCCAGGTCAGTCTAGCTGTTAGACTATGCTGAGAGTCCTGTGATGCTGTGATGTGGGGCACTGGTGTGTTGGTCTGGGGGTTACTGAAGCCTGTGCCTAAGGAGATGGTGAAGTTCTGCTCTAAGCACACGTTTCGGAGCCCACTAGTGTTTCATGACGTTATGAAGACTTAATGGAAGCAGACATCAAGCACGAGCTCCCCGTCTCCATAAAGCACTCTGAGAAGCAGAAAGAAACGCTGTGATTTCAGCTCGGAAGGAAGGGAAGGTGGCCCAGAACCCCTTCCCTGCCAGTGGATCACCAGGCAGGCAGAGAGCAGGCCTTTATTACAGCCCCCACGAACGCACTCAGCCCAACAACTTGTTTTCACTTTTTTTTTTTTCAGTTTAAATTTTTATGTAGTTGTTTAAAAATTCTGGGCGGATTAAACATAAGGCATGTGTACAGCTTGTGTGAGACGGAAAACAGGCATCAACATGCTGGTGCCAAGCTGTCAAACTTAATGACTCTGTAAGGAATTGGTGGCGCTGTGGTTGGGGCAGAGGGGGTGGGGAGGGTGCTCTGTTGCGATCTGGGGGGTATATTGTTATGCAAAGCACTTGCTAAATAGTTCTGCTCCACATTGGCCTCCTTTATTATCCATCTAGCTTTGTAGCAGTGTCCTCCTCATGGGCAGCTCCTTGGAGGAAGCAGGATTCGTTTTTTTTGCGAAGATCGAAGATCGGGCTGGGGGGAAACTGTCCTTTGTCAATCTTGCCCCCTCCAGTTCACACCTGAATGATATGCCTAAGTTTAGCTATGACCGAATTGTGGCAGCCTTCTACTGGGGAAAGTACTGTGTGTTGGACTGAAAGATAAGCAAGACATGGGGCTCCTGACATGGAGAACCTTCTAGGGAGTCGGTGAAAGAGTAGGGGTGGCATGGGTGGGGATGGGGGTTGGGAAAAGCCACTGCAAACATTCAGTGTTAGTATGTGCCAGGCACTTTCTCTGGAAGATCCTCAGGACCTCAGAGGTCACCTGCATGGGAGGAAAGGAAACTGAGATGGAAATGACTCAGCCAAGGTTGACAGCTCGTCCGAGTGGAAACAGAGCTGTGGGCTCAGTCCTGCCCAACCTGCAAAGCCCACCCTGAAAAATCGTCCCCACCAATGAGAGTCTGCCTTGGTATCACACGAAGCCCATCAGGATGGAGCTGGAGGGTTGAGAGAACCGCGCACTCGCTCTTTCTCAGACACGGCTCCTGCAGGTGGGTTCCTCCGGCCGTTCTGCAGTGAGTGAGTGTCCCAGTGGTGGTACGGCACCAGCCTGCCAAGGGAGCCAGTGGCCCAGACAGGCACTGTGACCCTCGAGGCAATTTCCCAAGCCTGGCCTGCTGGTGGTCACACAGCCTGGCAGCAGCGGGGCAGATGCACCTGTGGGTGAGCCTGGGGTGGGTGAGAGGCAGTGTGGGCCAGGATCTGTAGGGGGCAGCGAGGGCCCTGCTTGATGGACTCCCAGTATCTCGGTGAAAGCATCTTGGCAAGACCAAAGACTAGGCTCCCATGTCCTGAACTTTGGGCTCGCTGAGACTTTCAGAAGCATAGAACTCACTTAGCACCTGCGGGTGTTGGTGGAAAATATGACCCAGATGGAGTCAGTTCCACGAACTGCAGCCCCTGGACCTCAACCCACTGACTCTGATGTCACAGAAAGGAGCTTGCCCTGTGGTTGCGTGTGATGTTGACTTGGGTAGAAACTCCTTCTGCTGCCTGGCACCATGGCTTCAAGGTCGCTCTTCACTATCTTTCTTTCTTTTTAATTTAAAAAATTTTTTTAATTTTATAAGTTAGTTCACCATATTTAATTACATTTAATATTAAAACACCAACCCCACCACCATTACACTTCCCCATCACCAAATTTGGGATGTTTTCATCCCAAGCCCCAATCCCTGTCCCAAGAAAAATAGAAATAATATATTTTGTATTGTCTGTTATGTAAAACTGCCGAAAATGCTCCAAAAAAGTATCCATAGAGGAAACAGTGTGAAGATTATTCTATTTTGGCAGGGGCCATTAAGACATTCTTTAGGATATCATTAACATGTTGTTAGAGGTTGAGTGATAAGAGCTTTTATATATATATATATGAAAATATGCATATATGCATATATATGTACATACACATATATTTCCTTCTTATGATTTGTTGCCTACTATTTGC